GGGAAAGAAATTATAGAAATTATACTTTTATTTAGCAAGGATGCTTAAAATTGATCAAAAGTGATGATAAAGGCATTTATAATGTTACAAAAGATTTCTATCTCAGATAAATAGTGTTCATATCGATATCGGAATTATATCGTATCGACCGAAATTAAGAAATATATCGTGATATCAATTTTGGCCATATCGTCCAGCCTTAGCTTAGGGTTAGGGTTTTATTATCAGTAAAAAATACAAAAACAGTAATATTGTGAAGTATTACAATTTTAAATAAATGTTTTGTAGTGAAAAAACTGTCAAATATAATTGATTGCTGTGATCAAAGCTGAATTTTCAGCATCATTACTCCAGACATCAGTCAGTGTCACAGGACATTTCAGAAATCATTCTAATATGCTGATTTACTGCTCAAAGTGTCCAGTTTTCCGTCTTTTTTATCTTCAGCCAATCACATGCCTGATTCAAGAAGGGGGTCTCAAAAATGTCCAAAAAATAGTTTTATTTTACTAACTTAATTTTAAGTTAAATTGTGCTTTGTTGGTATATATCTACTAGAATATTAAAAAAATGTTCAGTGTTAAATAAGTATTTTTAAATTGTTGTTTTGTAATTGATTTTTTTCTTTGAAAAGCAAGACAAAACAGTCAAAGGAAAATTTTTGCTATTTAATTTATGCAATGGTGGAAAAAATTGGTGAAATACATGGAAAAAATGTGAAAAAGCATATTTGGCCAGCGTTTCATTTTGTTTGGCTTCAGCCTCGGCCAAGAATTTTCATTGCGGTGCATCCCTAATATGTATGATCAAGCTGTTCCTGCTTCTGAAATGGGCATTAGGACTTGATCAGCCAAGAGGTGTGGAAACTGGCTAGCAAAATTAATTTAATCATTTGACTTTGAGATATCTTTTGGTTCAAAAAGTCTGGTGTACTCTCGACTACCTTATGAGCCTGAAATGTTCATAAAAGTTTTAAAAACACAAGAATTTCTCTGTAGTGTTCTCGTAACTGCTGGGTGTCTCTAATGCTCAACACACCCTTGTTTGAGAACAGACTCTGTCTTTTGTTACGCTCCCAAAGTGAGATCACTTCCAGTTATTCAGAAGCACAGAGTTTGAACAGTGACAAGGGAACTCCCTTTCCACAGTAGGCACATTTCTCTAGTTAAGACTGCATACGCTATATTTACATTAGGTAAATAAGTCACATGAAAGCATGTCAGTAATACTTGTTGTCTGGTTCAACACTGTATTTGATGCCACAAGTTTTCTTTAAACTTGCGTCTCATAAATACAATGTGCTCAGCACCTGATGCATGTTTTTTTAAATTTTATTTTGCTGTGCTGTCAAAGAAGTGTGAAAATGCAACTTGGTCATGGTTCATGGGTCTAAAAAAGCAAAACGCAGTGGAGGGACAGGATGTGGCTTTTGCAAAACTTGGTCACATTAACCAATGATGTTTTATTTTGATTTATGTCGGTATGAGTCTTTTGCATTTTGTCACCATTTGTTTTGTTTTAAAGGGGTCATATGATGCTGCTAAAAAGAACATTATTTTGTGTATTTGGTGTAATGAAATGTGTTTATGCGGTTTAAGGTTAAAAAAACACATTATTTTCCACATACTGTACATTATTGTTTCTCCTCTATGCCCCACCTTTCTGAAACGCGTCGATTTTTACAAAGCTCATCGGTCTGAAAAAGCGAGGTGTGCTCTGATTGGCCAGCTATCCAGAGCCAATGAGAAAGGAAAACTTGAAATCGCATCATATGACCCCTTTAAATAATCACATTCACTAAAACTTAATTTAAAGATCCACTTTAACATAAAATAATCATAGTGTTGTGTGTTTCTCCCCTAACCCCCCCCCACTCTTTTACAGGTTCTTGCACTATTTGGACGGTATACACTTCACTCTTCCTAAAAGCACAGTGGAGTTCCTGGCTTCTGAGTTCCCTTAAATTACACGCATCTTTAGGCAGCCGCTTATTGCATTTGTACAGTAATATATACTCAGAAGGAGTGTGGTTTTATGTTATGTGGACAGCACATATTTGTAGTTTTAAATGTGCTGTTTCCCATTATCGTTTGTTTTGTACTGCCATGCATCTTCCAAAATGTTTTATCAAGTAATAAATTTGGATTTGCTATTTGCCAGCAAACATGTTTTTCTCAAAATATGTATGTAATTTGCAAGAGCACTAGTGAAAATGGTGCTATTTGAATTTTTGTACAGTTTGTGTATGATTTTTTCCCCCCCAAACGCATGCATTTAATCACCTTTACATGATGTGAGAAGTCAGAACTTGCATTGTTTTTATATGAAACCCATGACTTATGTGAGTCATGACACGCACTTTTCACTTCCACATCTTCTAAATGGGATGGTTTTAATTCACTTTAATCTGGGAAGATAACTGTATACCTGTAAAACCAGTAAATGCAACATTTTGTTCTGTATGCAGTTTCAGTGTGACTGGAGTATATTTACTAGCTTGCAAAAATATGTGGCTTTGGCACCTGCATGAACCCCAGTAATATCAGTCTTGATAATCTCATGGTTTGTTTGGTACAAGTGTAATATAACATTTAATTTTTTAATCATATTAAGCACAAAAAAACTATCCACAATGTGTCACTGTTTACAGTTTACTGTCATTATCGCCTACTCCTACTTATAGAGTAATTGATGTTAATGGGATTATTTAATAGATTACATTTTAGGTGTAGTTTGTTTTCTCTAGGAAGTGAACACTAAGGGTTTTTTTAGTGATGGAATGCTCGCGGAAGACCTCGCTTGATAGTCCAGCCGCGGTATTTTGCCGCTCGAGCTCAGTTGAGTTTGTAATCTGACGCGACAGAAACGCACAGCACACTGTCGAGTGACTCAATGAACGAAGTAAAACCGTCAAACCGCGCCCGACGGGACTATCCACGCGTGAAATAACAGATAAGAGAGGTCATACTGTTACCTATATGTTTTTTTAAAAGCATTTCGCCTATGGCAAATCGGGAAAAGAACAAAAAGACACTTCTAGAGTTGGTGAAGCTGCCAGAGAATAGCTGCTGTGCTGACTGTGGCGCTGCAGGTAAGTACTGTAACAGCTATTGTCAACACCGCTTTAAACTCACAGCTAGCAGTTCTTTGTGTACTTTACTTGGGATTCGCTGACATAATATAGTGACACCCTGTTTATCATAGTTTACAGTTACAGTTCTGTAGATATGCAGAGTAGCCATGAAGTAAACATCTCATTGTCAAGGTTCGATCACTGTAACTATGGCTTCAGTAAAACTATGGCGTTTGTTTTGAAACCGGTAGCATTTAGTATCTATACCCTAGTTTACTCGAAATGTCTCTTTAATTTTTTTTAAACTTAGAATGGTTAGCAGGACTCACACTTTCCATTTCCATGCTATTCTGGCTGTTCAATAATTGGATTGGTATATAGATATAGAGCTCATAGAACTGTATAGAGATCTATAACATTTAACTTTTGTATAACATTGTTTAGAGATAAATCTCAGAAGAGTCATTTTCTAGCTGATAATAGAGTATATATAAAATAGTCTTTATTTTCATTGCTTTTCCTGAATATTACAGTTGCTTGACATGTCCTGTTTTCTCTGATTGTGGTAACTTTACTGGGTTATTTACATGTTTGTTTGTTTGACTCTTGTTATTTAAAGATCCAGATTGGGCTTCATGCACACTGGGAATATTTGTGTGTCTAAACTGCTCTGGAACTCATCGCAATCTTCCTTCTGTAAGTCGTATCAAGTCTATACGTTTAGACTTCTGGGATGATGAGCTTGTGCAGGTATGTGAACTAAAAATTCAAATGATAAAATATTGGTTGTTACCTGACTGTTAGATTTTGTAAGGTCATTGTTTTAATTTTCAGAATCTAGTGGTTACAGTAGGTCATGAATGTGAACCTTAACACTGTTGTGCTTCCTTTTAATGCATTTCTGGACGAGAAGTTCATGAAGGCCAATGGAAATCGTGCTGCCAAAAACTTATATGAGAAATTTGTCCCAGTCTTTTATTATCAGCCCCAACCAGACGATTGCGAGTGAGTAGTCCAATCTCTTCTGCTGACTGAAAAGTCAAACAAAAGCATAATTTAAAACTGAAACATGTACTTACTAATTTATCGTCATAATGGAACAGATCTCTGTTTTGGGAAGTTAAAAAAAAAAATATATAGCTGATCAAGCAAACATCTTCCCGGCAAGAAAAAAAAGCTGTGTACTATTGTTGGTTACAGTAAGAGGAACTACTGCTTCAACTAAAAGGGGTTTCTGGTGTTAAAGTCCAGTCTTTTGATTCTGTCAGCTGCACTCTTGATTCTTAATACATTGCATATGTATTAGTTAAATATATGGCCATATTCAGGTAAACTAGTACAATCTGCTTTGTTATTATAAAATAGTAAGTGTACATTCAGACTATAATATATGTGTACTGTATGTCATGTACACATCAATTATCCCCATCACATAGCTCAACAAAATGCATTCTGTGTACACTGTATAGGGTCCTCAGAGAGCAATGGATTCGAGCCAAATACGAAAGAATGGAGTTTACAGAGGAAAAAACAGAAAGACCTTACACAGCAGGTAATCTATTTCAGTTCCCAGATGGTTTCTGTTAACCTTTGTACTTTAAAATGTATTTACCTTATTCTGTTTCATCTGCTAATATTAACAATGAATAACATGAATCTTTCAATGAAATTGTTTGCCCTGCTCTAGGTGTCTATGAGGGCATGCTGTGGAAGAAAGGAAAGGATAACGGACAGTTTCTCGAGAGAAAGTTTGTTCTTTCAGTGCACGATTTTACCCTCAAATACTACAAGGAGGATGTGAGAGCTTTTTTGTTGAGCAATGATGTTTGCACATCATCAAGAAAAAAAAAAGATATTTTATCGAAGGCATTTGTTGTAAATGGCAGCACAGAATAACTACATGACATTTAAGTCCATCAACGCTAATAATATGCATTAATCATCCGATATCTTTCATCTAACACAATTCTAGCCGTATTTTAAAATATTTGACTTTGATTGAAAATAATAGAATCTAATGAAGTATTAGGTGCACAAATGAGATATTCATTAAACTCTATCTGTGCTCTTCAGGAATCTAAGGGACCAAAGGCTACTATTTCTGTGAAGGACCTGAATGCAACCTTCCAGCCTGAGAAGATAGGACACGCTTACGGCCTTCAGATCACCTACTGTGTGGATGATCACACCAGAAACCTTTTTGTTTACCATAAAAATGGACGGGTAAACCTCTGGAACTTTCTTTTTTTTTTTCCTGCTTTATTCCCAATAATTGTACAACATGTCATGCAGATTTCAAAGTTTTTTTTGTTTTTTTTTCCTTTTTGTTTTGAACCAGTTTTAAAGGCAGCTTGAGCACTAAACAGTATTTGCTCTGTATTTCCTCCCTTTTAGGAGATTGTCAATTGGTTTAATGCCATTAGAGCTATTCGCCATGTCTACCTAAAAACAGCCTTTCCTACAGCTAGCGATGGAGATGTAAGTACATTTTGTATACTTGATTTTGACTTATTAAGAGTACCATATGTCACCTACAATTTGCTTTACCTAGCTTTTGAATATCTTAAAAACATGTGTAGAGTTTTCTCCCGTTGTAGTTGCGTTAACATTGCCACATAAAAAGGAAGTACTGCAAGTTTCCCCTTTTCCAAGTGATTTTACTTCCTAAAACCATCAACAGCTTAAGGCCTGTCTTCCCTTCCATTTCACAACATGAATGATCATCAAACAAACACCCTACACCACAATGTTAACAGTACACGGAAATGTGGTTTTGGTTTTTTGTGAGTCGCTGCATCCCTAAACAAGAAACGTGTTTTTTAGTTGGTTAGCTAACAGAATGCTCTTTGTGTCTTATATTCAAACGTTTTCTGGGCTAGTTCAGGAACAAATTGTTCACTGAAAATCACTGTAGATGTAAACTTAATGTGGGTCAATGACATTTGTGCTACATGTTCATCTGGATCAGCTCTGTAGTGTTAGCATTACACAAAAGGGTTTCACTTGGCGTTACAATGCTACAAAATGATATTATAAAATGTAAGCACAAATGTTTATTACTAGAAATATGATTGAAATTTAATCTAAATAAAACCAAAGCTCTGTGAAACAGTTGTGAAAGGTGATCAACCTTTTTTAAGTTTTTTTTTTCTTGTGCGAAGGGTTAATAATTGTATTATTATTATTATTATCTTGATTATAAACTCTTTAACCAGTGTGTGTGTGTGTGTTTTTTTTTGTCTTAAGCTAATACCATGGATAACCAGAAGCTATTTAAAAGAGGGTTACATGGAGAAGACTGGCCCACTGGTAGGAGTTTTCCCTCATAGATGGTGCTCTCTATGTTGATTCTTTGCATATTTTGAAATCGAGATTTTCCAGTGTAGCAAGGTGTTTGTATTTGCCCTTAAATTGCACAAGCATTTAAGGATAAATCAGGCTATTCTTGTAAAACACTCCTTAGACACCTCTTTACACATTCACAAACAATAATACACCATTACATGTTGAACCACTCTGTCCATTTTTTATATATTTCCAACATCTGTATAGTTCTGCATGTGCTATTCTATTATAACATTTCTTTATTGTGTTTTATTGTCCTGCATAATGCAGAGTATGGTAGCTTGTACGAGAACAAAATCATTTTCTACCACTTACTGTATGTTGAGCATGTGACAAATGTCAAAAGTCTGAAACTTTTTAAATGAATTTAAACTGTTTGTGTATGTTGAACAGCAGCGAGAGCCTTTCAAGAAAAGATGGTTTATTTTGGATTCCCTGGACAGGAAACTACTCTATTTTAAAACACGGCTGGTATGAATTGCACAGTAAGAACGGTGTCAGTGTTGGCTGTTTTTTGGGGGAAGTCGTGGCCTAATGGTTAGAGAGTCGGACTCGTAACCCAAAGGTTGCAGGTTTGAGTCTCATACCGGCAGGGATTGTGGGTGGGGGAGTGAATGTACAGCGCTCTCTCCCAAAGTATGGGTCAAGTCACTTTCACTTTTTCACTTTCACTTTTAGTTTAGTTAAAAAAAACTCTAAACTTGAAACCCGAAAGTGTCTAATGAATTTGAAAGCATTTCTGCTACATGAAATTGTAGAGGGAGTAATGTGAATTTTCTCTTCTTTTTATCCTAAAGGATGCCATTGAGCTTGGGGTAGTGTTCATTGGCTCAGAGAATCATGGATATTCAGTGAGAGAGTGTGTCCCTAAAGGGACGAGAGGCAACAAATGGAAGTGTGGGGTAATTGTGGAGACGCCAGATCGGCAGTTCGTCTTCATGTGCGAGCAGGAGCGTGATCAGAGAGAGTGGGTGGAGGCCCTAAAAACCGTCATCTCCAAACCCATGATGCCGCAAGATTACACCAGTAAGATTATAACACTTTTGATCAGATGTGCTAATTAAATATTACAAAACATAAATGTTAAATGTTAAAAAATAACACTCTTGTCTCCTTTTCAGCTGAAGCCAATATCCGTAGACGGAGGTGAAGACCATGAGTGCATGGGACAATAAGCTCAGACTCTGTCACTAAATCTATTTAAAATGAACCCTGACATACATGCTAGGTAAATCTAGGGTTAAAACATTTGAGTCCTAGGCACTCAAAGGGAACCGTGGAAGAATGTGACTCTTTTGGGGAGCATGTTTCCTAACAAAAACAGTTTAAAAAAAAAGTGGATGTGAAACCAAATTGAGAAGACTGCAGTAGGTCAGATGAGGACAGACTGACTGGTTGAGCTCTCTGAGGAGCACAAAGGATATGACTGCGTCTGAAGATGGATACGATCTGGGCTCTCAATACAAGTAGAGATCTAGAAACAAGCCTTGACCAAGATGAGAATCGCAGTGAGAGGTCAATCAGACTCACATGTGACTGTGAGTCCACATGCAGGAGCTGAGACAGCAAACAGAAGCAAAACAATAAGGAATTATGCTTGTACAGAAATGGACACATGCAAGTGACATGAAGTGTGTGATGAAAATGCTAATCGTAAAACACCTGGGTTTCATAAACTGACATTTGGCCAGTTTTTATTTTGTGATAATCATATGGGCGACTGAACAAAGCTGACTTGTTTTGATGTTCACAGTTTATATTAAAATCTATTTTCAAACCACATATTACATCAATACTAAGTTTGAAATGCCCATTATCTTCTGTTGCTCTTTTTGTTGCTAACATGGTGGATGTCATTTTCTTCACTGACTAATAACTTTAGCATTATGTTGATATTGCTAGATTGCTATTTATTGAAATGTATATTATATTATATTATATTTATTATAGTGATGTAATAACAGTTTTACAGATAACAGTGACCCAAGAGGCTGTCATTCCCAGCAAAGTACTGTGGACATTTTGTAGCCTGGATCTTAGGTCAGCTTTCAACAGTGATGGTTGTACTTTTTGGTGCTTTCTTGTTAATGTTGTTCAGCAAAGACAAACTTTTACAAGTGAAGCAGAAAAGTGAAGTCATTTGAAGTGCAACCCCACAAATATATGGTTTAGCTAATCCTTTAGTTAATGGTTTTGAATTAGATATCTTTTTTTATTATTATTGAACGATATCAATTTACACACTTTTTCCATAATTGCATATCCAGTCGTACGTAAATATCCATGTATATATCTACACACAATAAACAACAAACAAAAAAAAACATTCTTTAAACATTTCAGGGGGTGGCAAGGAGAAAAAGGAAAAAAGGTACAAAATCTTACCATTCTTTTTTGTTTTTTTAACTTTTTTTTGTTATTATGCAGCAAAAGAACAAGAACAAGTACAAAGACAAACACAAGACAATGAGGGTTATGTACATTAGCCTAATCCACAGCACACCATGAAAGGGTCTTACATGCAATAGAATTATTGGAATTTCTTAAAGAGTTTACATACACATCAAAGTCTTTCCTAAAAACAAAAAGGAAGGTGTCATCTCTGAAAATTTACATTTATGAATGTAAACTTTGGCAAGAAATAGCAATAAATTAATAAGTTTGAACTGAGAAGTGTCTATATTCAAAGAGTAACCAAAAAAAACATTTTTTTATGTTATGCAGAAATTTTGATATAGATATTTTTTTTTACAAAATTGGAATCTTACCATTCTTAAAAGGACATTCATTTTTGAAACAATTTAAAGAGGGTTTACTGTTATTCTATTTTCTTTTATGTATATGATATTTACCCATTGTAATAATAATGTTTAACATCAATAACATCTTTTTCGAAAAACCATCCGCATAAACTAAAACCTGAAATATATTTAGTGACGGAATATCAGTATCAATTTCAATATTTAGCCAGCAGTAAAGATCTTGCCAGAGGTGAAGTATAACACGCGTTTCCTCTCCAGTCCTACAGGAGGCGGTATAACATCATAACTGCGAACGGTAAACAAAAAATGCCAGCACGAGGAGATCCGCGTTTGTCCGCAGCTGCGTTCCGTAGTTACCGGTTATTGGAGGTCAGCCGTTTCTGGCGTGAGCTTGAAATGTGAACCGAGAAATGTCATGAAGTGAATCTGAAGAAAGCAAGCAGTGCCTTCATAGATGCGGAATCGCTTTGTCTCACTGGCATGAATCACCTGTGTGTGTTAAACTGGTGTGAGCAGAGGCTTTATTCAGACTGACACAGGCAGAAGCTGATCCGTCCGTTTTGCCCTACAGAGGCCTGCGCTATTGCATATAGCTGCAGGATCAATGATCTACGACAAAGCACTTGTTCGTTTTTTATTTTGATCACATCAAAGTTGCAACGATGAGAAAGGACGTGAGGATATTACTTGTCGGTGAACGTAAGTGAATTGATTCAGTTCAATTGTGTCAAATGGCTGCTGTTAGTCAATTGATTTGCATATCTCTAAATGGTCGATATGCGCTGCTGTTCACTATTATATGCACAGTAGTAACATCCTTCCATTCTATATTTTAATGTTTTTGCAAACATTTTTTATTCAGCCATATGAGATTAAATTGACAAGTGTCAGAATGAAAGATATTTCCCCAGAAATAACAGGTATTAAGCTTTGTACATGTTTTTAAATGTTGTCCAAACTGACTACAGTCATTAAAAATGTTATGTTAATGCACACATGCCTGTGTATTGTGTGTAAAATAACCCAAATAATAGCAGTTTGTAATCATAACTGAGCAGCTCAGCAGGCTCTGATATTAAAAATGGGAGTGTCATCCTTAGGGTTTTGTTGTTAGTTTTCACCCCTGTTTATCAGAGTTGTTTATAACAGTTTTAGGAGCAACTCTCACAGGCCTCCAAAGGTCAGCCAAAATAGTACGTGTCCATGTAAACGTACTGCTCACCAATGCCAAACCATCAAGCTTCAGACCCCTCAGCCTGTCCATTTAAAGGGGTCATATGATGCTGCTAAAAAGAACATTATTTTGTGTATTTGGTGTAATGAAATGTGTTTATGCGGTTTAAAGTTAAAAAAACACATTATTTTCCACATACTGTACATTATTGTTGCACCACTTTATATTAAGTGGCCTTAACTACTATGTACTTACATAAAAAAATAAGTACAATGTACTTATTGTGTTCATATTTTATTGCAAAACACTTTTGCTGCTATTGAGGTGGGACACGGGTAAGGTTAGGGACAGGTTTGGTGGTTTGGAAAGGTTTAAGAGTGGGTTAAGGTGTAAAAGAGGGGTCAACAGTGTAATTATAAATGTAATTACAGAAATTAATTACAGATGTAATTACATGCAGGTATTTTAAAAATATAAGTACAATGTAAAAACATGTATGTACACAAAAAGTGCATTGTACCAAATTATTAATTTAAATGTAAGTACATAGTTGTTAAGGCCACTTAATATAAAGTGGGTCCAATATTTCTCTTTAGTCATTATTGATGTGTGACATCTTACAGGTGTTAAGATTTAGATGGGGACTTGCAGAAGATAACACTGATCGCTCATCAGTGCGTTTTTATATTTGGAAATATTAGAACCAGGGTTATTGTTATTAACTTAAACTAAACTCATGAATTGTTACTTAAAATAAATGTTAACTAAAATTAAAAAAATTAAACTGGTTTTATTTTAGGTAGATGACAAGGCAGCATTTATCATTTTCATTTGATGTACTAAAATAACTAAAACTGTAATTAAAATTGTTGACACATTTTAAAAAGAAACAAAAAATAATAATGACTAAATCACAACAAAATTACTAAAACTGCAATAAAAATGATGTAGACACATTTTAAAAAGAAACAAAAAATTGACTAAAACACAACAAAAATCTTTGATATTAAAATGAAAACAAATTTAAAATATTTAAAGCCTATAACAGCTTCTCAATGATTTGAAAATAACACTGATCAGAACTTGTCCATTAGCTTTTTTTTTTGTATTTTGTAGTTTTCAGTTTACATAAATGTTTATGTAAAAGTTAATAAAAGTTTTCACTTTTTAAAATAAGTTTTGTACGGTTTGCTAGTTCATTTTTATATTGTGGTGTGACGTGATTTTTTTGCAAGTAGTCTTTATATGAGGTCATAACATGAGGTCATAAAAGCTGCATGGTTGATATTGAAATTAAACAGTTCAACTGAAATGTGTGAACTACCCCTTTATAAGGGCGCTCATCTTGACAGGCATGTTTCTGTTAATCATTTGGTGCTATTAATAGATCTAGAGCACAGTGGTCATTGTGGACTTCTTTTTCTTCACAGCCAAAGTGGGGAAGACCTCCCTGATCATGTCACTCGTCAGTGAGGAATTCCCTGATGAGGTACAGTCATTCACTGAAATGACTCTTCACGTTCTGAGTGCACGTGCATTGCATTAGTATTGTGTTTCTCATGCTTGTGTTGTGCGTCTCATGAAAGGTTCCTCTCAGAGCTGAAGAGATCACTATTCCTGCTGATGTCACACCTGAGAGAGTGCCCACTCATATAGTGGACTATTCAGGTACTGATACATGTACATCACTGTACGATGAGACTCATATGGCCTGCATTGCTGTTCTTATGTCAATGCCGCAAGCCTCTCCTAAGGTACTTATTCCTTTAGTTTTTAATTCTCTTCTTCCATATTTTTGATCCCACAGAAGCAGAACAGTCAGATGAGCAGCTTTACCAAGAAATATCAAAGGTGGGGCTGGTTTTAGTCTCTTTGCTGACACAATTTAGTTGAATTTTATTGTTTTATTCACCTCCCTTGTGTTTTCTCTCTTGGCACAGGCCAATGTTATATGCATCGTATATTCAGTAAACAACAAGAAATCAATCGAAAAGGTAAGTCTTGTTTCCTTGTATGCCAAACACAAAAATGCACCAGCCTGTAGTTACCAATCCAAATACATGTCTTGCTCTGATAAACTGTTGTTATTGCCGATACTACCATTTTTTTTATTATTATTGTTTTTAAAAGTTTACTTTATTTTAGAATTTCCTGTATTTTATTATTGGTTTTGTTCAGCACTGCAGATAAACCGTATATTGCCGTAGTCGTGTGTTTAGTCACGTTGAATCAATGAAAGCCGTTGAATCTTCTGTTTATTCAGCTGCAGCGATAGGCATTTTCTGGACATTAATTACCCTTAAATGTCTTTTTGTTAATTGTGTAAGTTTTGTTATTTATTTCTGTTTTCGCCATGAATATATCTTTGTTGCTGACATGGCGTTAAAACATACAAACATTATTAGTAAACATTATTAGTCATTACTGTAAGTAATGAAAGAACAAATAAATAAATTACCAGCAGTAGCACAAATAAATACAATAGAATCATCAGTTTTGTCCTAAGTGTCTTTCACACTGGCCCTGGGCCATTGGGCTGTTCTTATTGTCAAGCTCTGATAATATAACTATGCAAATATTGGTTAAACATCTGCTAAAAAAATACATGTAAATAACTGTTTGACAAGTTGTTAGTGTCAGTACAGCAAATATCATTAAACAGTAACGTTGTTTCCATGTACTCACTGCATAAACCTTTTTTCATCTAATTTATTGCTTTTATGTACTATGTTCTTGCCATGAAGATAGCCGTTCTGCTTTAAAAAAAATATATAGATTATACTATATATATATATATATATATATATATATATATATGTGTGTGTGTGTGTATGTATAGTGTAACAAAATAATCTATAATCTATGTACTTACAATGTAATACTGTAATACTTGTATGCATCTTCTCATATGTCCTCACTTTGTCCTCTTTTTTTTATTTATTTTTTTTGGTAAAATGCTTTCTTTTACCTGATTTAATATACAGAAGCATCTATAAGCAAGCCATTCTTAGGCTGATTTCCAGAGGAAAACTGATGACATTTCTCTCTCTCTCTTTTTTTATTTTTTATTTGATGGCACAATGCAACACAAAAATTACACACATGATTCAAGCATTGTGTCTGAAGCTATTAAATGTTTTAATCCTATTGTCTTGTCACAGAGTACCATTGATCCTGGTGGGGAATAAATCTGACCTGGTGGAGCACAGCAGCATGGAGACCATCCTGCCCATCATGAACCAGTACTCTGAGATTGAGACCTGTGTGGAGGTGAGAAATCTGCACAGTGTGATCTAAACATAGGTGACGACGTGCTGTATGTGCCTCTCAGATCTCCAGTGGCTGTGAGAGTGAGTTTGTGCAGAGGGGCAGGAGTGTCATGGAGGAGAGTGACATGTGTCCATCGCTCGTTCCTGCTTTACTAGAGGCATTGGTTTCAGTTTAAAAGGAAAGACAGAGCTCTCAGACTGAGAGTCCAGTGAATGCAAATCAAATCAGTCCTTTATTCCTGTGCACATGAAGCTTTACTTGATTTGCATGACTCTGCATCATGCGCTTTTTTCACCACCAAGAAAACCACACTTTTTTTGTCAGGTATCTTCTGCAGTGATACGGAAAGGTGTCTACCAGTATTTGTTTGATCTCAGATCATTATTATTTATTTTTTGTGGGGGGAAAAGAAATTATATGTGAAAGAAAACAGTTCAAATCAATATGGGAGGATAATATGTATGAATAAAGTTAATTTAATAAAGTAAAATGCAAATGCAAGTATTTGACTTTGTATGTCAGTTATAAAGCAATTATTTGAATGGCTTTGCAGTGTAAACATCATAAAGTATGTAAATATTTTATTGTGATATATTAGGCATGTTCTTATAGATCATGCGATTGAGTTTTATACACAATATAATGTGGTTCCTTCCCTGTTAAAGATCCTTGTCTGATAGCAAAACAGTTATTATTTATTGTTTACAGTTTATTTCTGCTTAATTAATATTCATTAAGAAATTAAGAAACCTTTTTAAATTTAGTGTTCATTATATTAGATGTAGAGGAAAAAAAAATAGAAATAAAAATGCTGTACTTAAAAAAAATATATATATATATATATTTTTTTTTATTTATTTATTTTTTTTTAATATATGGAAGACATAAACCATGATGTACTTTATTGATATAATGACTTTATTCATTCTTAGTGTTCAGCCAAAAACCTGAAAAATATCTCCGAATTGTTCTACTACGCCCAGAAGGCTGTTCTGCACCCGACAGGACCGCTGTACTCTCCAGAAGACAAAGAGGTAAATATTACTTCAGTTGGACTGCTGGACCTGTTAATATGACCACTTTCTATTACAAAGAAGAACATCGAAATATTCAAATAAGTAATGTGTTCCCTTCTGTTTATTCTCCAGATGAAGCCTTCGTGCATCAAAGCACTTACTCGCATTTTCAAAATATCAGACCTGGACAATGATGGCATTCTAAATGATAATGAGCTTAATTTCTTCCAGGTGAGAGCAGTTTTCTTCAGCACTCTGTGCTCAAATTGCTGTGGCATTTTAATACTTCCTCAAATAAATGACAGGAGAGGTTGTTTACACACACACACACACAGCTGCACAAACTGCACATTAATGAGAGCGTCATATTTTCTCAAGCAACTTTGTTGATGATTGTTGGTATTGCGTTGCAGAGAACTTGTTTTAACATACCCCTGGCACCTCAAGCCCTGGAGGACGTGAAGAATGTTGTGCGGAAAAATATGTCAGATGGAGTAAAAGACAATGGCCTCACACTGAAGGGTGAGCGGAGTAGAAAGACAAATGTCGCTGGCTTTTTATATCACAGTTATGCAGTGATACTTGGCTTCCCATTGCCATCATTTTGTTTAAAAAATATATATAGTATAGTGGTTTGTAAATTCCTCATGTTCCTTCATTTATCAGGTTCTGTTGTGTCTGAGATGTGTTCTCTGTTTTCTAGGTTTCCTGTTCCTTCATACACTTTTTATTCAGAGAGGAAGGCATGAGACCACATGGACTGTGCTCAGGAGGTTTGGTTATGATGATGACCTGGAGCTGACCCAGGAATACCTGTTTCCACTGTGAGTCCCACCCCAGATCCAGTACTTCAACTTTACATGAATCATGTCTCATCAAGTAGCTCAGAGCTCATCTCTGGTTGGATCACATTTTTTGCAGATCTGTTGCGCTGCAAAGAAACGCACACATTCAAATTGTGGTTTTCTAATTAGTTCAGAAGAATTTCTAACATCTATTTGTTTTCCTAGGTTAAAAATACCTCCAGACTGCACCACAGAGCTGAACCACAATGCCTACCTCTTCCTCCAGAGCGTCTTTGACAAGCATGACAAAGTGAGCTCAGCCAAATACAAGTTTTCCAAATAGCTGCATTTGATAAGGACGGTTATCTAGCTTCAGTCAGAGCATGAATGAAGACGATTGACTGACTGTACGCCGCCTGGCTCTTTGTTTAATTGCGTAATGCAAGGGTGTGTTTTACGACACCGCCTTGTAGAAGGACATGCCAGGGGCCATTCACAGGCATTTTTGAGCTTTTAAAAGTTGGCTTAAGAAAAAATAGCGAGGCGTGATGCAAAAATGAAAGATACCCCATGTAGAAAAAATTTTAATGAACACAAGAACGCCCTATGAACTGAATCTATACTTTTTTCACCCCAAATTGTTTGTATATTAGGATCGAGACTGTGCCCTATCTCCAGATGAGCTGAAGGATTTGTTCAAGGTCTTTCCCTACATGCCCTGGGGTCCCGATGTCAACAACACAGTCTGCACCAATGAGCAGGGCTGGATCACTTACCAAGGCTACCTTTCTCAGTGGACGTGAGTGCTGCCTTCATCCTACAATACTTGAAAATGGAAACAATGGACTTTCTGATATTTGTGTTCATCTGAATGAGTGACTTAAACATGATTTATCTCCATTTCAGGCTAACAACATACCTAGATGTGCAGCGATGTTTAGAGTACTTGGGTTATCTTGGTTACTCCATTATCCAAGAACAGGAGTCACAGACAGCTGCTGTCACAAGTAAGAGTGATTTAGTATGCAATGCATCTTGATTCATTCATTCATTCATATATAAGGCTGATTTCTAATTCATTAATGTGTTGTTGTTGTGCAGTCACGAGGAATAAGCGCATCGACCTGCAGAAGAAACAGACCCAGCGCAGTGTTTTCCTCTGCAATGTCTTAGGAGCTCGAGGCAGCGGTAAAAGTGGCTTTCTGCAGGCTTTCCTTGGCAGGAACCTTGCGGTGAGTACAGATGCCTCACCGGAGCATGTAGTGTTCTGACTTGGACTTGATTTTAACGGTCTCCTTCATATTGCAGCGTCAGAAGAGGATAAGAGAAGACCACATGTCTTACTATGCCATGAGCACCACTTATGTTTATGGACAAGAGAAATATCTGCTTGTAAGTCAAAGTTCTGTTGCTTCGTCCACTAATGCATAGTCATCTTCATGTCTAGCCAGTGCTGATTGTTTTTCTCTCTCTTTCTCAGCTGCACGAGGTGCTGCCGGACTTTGAGTTCCTTTCTGAGGCTGATCTGGCTTGTGATGTTGTTTGCTTGGTATATGACATCAGCAACCCGCGTTCTTTTGAGTACTGCGCTAAAGTCTACAAGGTTAGCATATTTTTAAAAGATATTTATCGGCATTTTATATTTATGTCCTGGTTAAGCAATTATATGTTCTTTATTAAAGGTCACTTTGATAAAAAAATAATAATTATTATAATTCTGCTTTATTAAAATTGTCTTTACTATATAAAAAAGTTTGGGGTTGGAAATATTTTTTTAAAATGTTTTTTTTAGGCGGTTAGCGTTAACGTGTTAACGCATGCGATTAATTTTACAATCCTTAACGCGTTAAAATAATTTAACGCAAAATTACTGAAGCACAATTTGTATTCTAACCCTTTAACCCAATTTTGCTTCTCTGCTTGCGATCAGATCGTCTTTGCTGTTGCACTGTACACATACACAATACACATTTTTTCTTTCATATGTGCTTATATGGGCTCCTTATATCATTTGGTTCTTTGGTGTCCTTTTGGAGTTTCTAAGTGTCCTTTTTTGGAAAGACATCTAAATTTATCTTGAAAAAAGCTAGCAGAAAATACAGATTTTTGAGAATCACCCTTCAATCTTTTGGTTTACTTTGCTGGATATAGCAAATGATGACAAAATAAACATTTGAAACAAGATAAATGGTCTATGCTTAATTTCATGAAGTGTGCGATTAATCACAGAAAAAGGTGTGATTAATCAGATTAAAAATTTTAATCGATTGACAGCCCTAGTTTTTTTTTTTAAAGAAGTCTCTTATGCTCACCAAAGCTGCATTTCTTTGATCAAAAATACAGAAATACAGCAATATTGTGAAATATTATTACAATTAAAAATAAATATTTTCTATTGCAATTTTAAAATGTAATTTATTCCTGTGATCAAAGGTGAATTTTCAGCAACCATTACTGATAGTGTCACATGATTCTAACTTGCTGATATGGTGCTCAAGAAATATTAAACAAAACATTCTTATTATCAATTAAAACAATAGCGCTTCTTAATATTTTTGTAGAAACTGTGATGCATTTATTTTTTTTCAGGATTTTTTGATGAATAGGACATTCAAAAGAACAGCATTTATTTGAAATGGAAATCTTTTTTTAACATTATAAATTACTTTACTGTCATTTTTTGAATCAATTTTATGCGTCGTTGCTGAATAACCCCCCACCCCCCCATGCACCCAAACAAAAATATTACTGACCCCAAACCTTTAAATGGATTTTGTGTGTGGATTTCGGAAAATGGCTTGTATCATTCTAGTTTCTCATTGTGTAATTTGGTGTCTTATTGTCCAAAAAGAAAACGTTTAGTAAGCAAAAACTATCCCTTGATTTTCCGAGATGTTATCACAAAACTTTTCTTTTGCTTGTTTGTCAATTTATTGTGAATCAGTTAAAGCTCAGTGTGCGTGGTCAACAGTCACCAAAAAAAAAAGCTCAATAAAAAAACTAATATAACTCCACATATGTGTGATGTTCTTTCACAGAAACACTTGTTGGACAGCAAGACACCCTGTGTGATTATTGCTGCCAAGTCAGACCTGCATGAAGCCCGTCAGTACTACAGCCTGTCCCCGCTGGATTTCTGTCGGAAACACAAGCTTCACCCGCCGCAGATGTTCACCTGCAACACAGACGAAGCACCCAGCAAAGACATCTGTACCAAACTCACCACTATGGCCATGTATCCGTGAGTATACAGCCCCTTCTTCAACCAGACCCATCTGCTCCACTGTCTACTACTCCTGTTAGATCGTGATTGGCTCCTCTGACTCTCCCTCTTTTGTTTGTCTATCAGTTTATTGTCTCTTTTTGTGCTTCTAAAGCTGTTAGGTATCATAGTAGCAGCTAGCTGCAGTATCTTGGAAAGCTGATCTTTCATTCGGTTTCAGAGTCGTTCGAGTATTATTTGTTCTATGGTCTTTTCATGTAGTGTATAACAATTTTAGGTTTCATTTGTTATGTAGTGACAGGTGGTGATGCAAGCTATGCACCAGTTCTTTCCTAAGGCTGTGTATGAGAACCTTAGTTTAAATCGTAACTGATTTTGACAATTAAAATTACATAATTTTTCCGGAAAAGGGTGTATGTGTAAAAGCGCCTGCTACTGGTCTGGACCGCTTTATACAATACAGAGTAGTGGTCGAACGATATATCGGCCGATATGTGGCATTTTTTAAATATCGGCATCGGCCGATAAGTTTTCCTGTTTGGCCGATGCGTTCGAGGCGGGACTTTTATTTTGACGGCGCTGACAGCGGCAGCTCACATTCTCCCTCTTGTTCGTTGTTGTCGTTAACAGTTTTGTCTAATATGGACAGAAATCTGTCTAATAATCAGATAGAACGGTTAAACAAAGGAATTAAAATGTATACAAAAGTATTATAACGATTGCTTTTATATTATTAGTAATAGAAAGGCAAACATTATAATACTTTCTTGTTTGCCGTCAGCATTCAGCAAATACACATTTATATCATTTAAACAAATCTTTGAATGTCTATTAATGAACATTTAATTTCACAAACCTTGCAAACTTAGTCGAATCTAGTTGAAGCACCCAGCAAAGACATCTGTACCAAACTCACCACTATGGCCATGTATCCGTGAGTATACAGCCCCTTCTTCAACCAGACCCATCTGCTCCACTGTCTACTACTCCTGTTAGATCGTGATTGGCTCCTCTGACTCTCCCTCTTTTGTTTGTCTATCAGTTTATTGTCTCTTTTTGTGCTTCTAAAGCTGTTAGGTATCATAGTAGCAGCCAGCTAGCTGATCTTGGAAAGCTGATCTTTCATTCATTCGGTTTCAGAGTCGTTCGAGTATTATTTGTTCTATGGTCTTTTCATGTAGTGTATAACAATTTTAGGTTTCATTTGTTATGTAGTGACAGGTGGTGATGCAAGCTATGCACCAGTTCTTTCCTAAGGCTGTGTATGAGAACCTTAGTTTAAATCGTAACTGATTTTGACAATTAAAATTACATAATTTTTCCGGAAAAGGGTGTATGTGTAAAAGCGCCTGCTACTGGTCTGGACCGCTTTATACAATACAGAGTAGTGGTCGAACGATATATCGGCCGATATTTGGCATTTTTTAAATATCGGCATCGGCCGATAAGTTTTCCTGTTTGGCCGATGCGTTCGAGGCGGGTCTTTTATTTTTACGGCGCTGACAGCGGCAGCT